ATCACACTAGCCACTACCTCACCCAGATCAGGACATGATTGCAGCTGAGGGCCTTACACCATCAGTCTGTTTGGAAGAAAACGCCCCAGGAAATCTTATTACAAAGATGCTTCTGTGAGGAGAAATTCACACAGTATAGCCTTTGAAATGGACTTCCTGAAGAGTGGGATCACCTCATTGAAGACAGTCTCATGGACAGCTCTCTTGTTTCATAGTAAGGACTGTAAGAACAGGGTCCCAAGTCAGAATCTATAGGTGTGGACTGCCAGTCCCCCAGTTACTTCAGGGACAGCAGAGGAGGTTGCAGTGATCTAACAAAAGCAGCTCCTCACACTTTGCCTCTCCACCATGTGTTTTCATTCTGGCTAGCCTTGAGCAACTGTCAGACATAGTAGAGAAGGTTCTTAATATCAGAATTCACAACAATCCACTCCTCATACAACCAAGGCTGCTAACTGATGTGAGATATGAAGGCCAGGTAACCCTAACTGAAGGGCCACCTGTACTGATTCACCCAGTGATTGTGGGGATAGTGATTAGGGCAGTCCTGAGATGGCAGAGGCAGATATCATTTTAGTAGTAGCTGCAGCAGAGCATTTAAAGATATGGAGGGTAGTAGTTTGGTCTTATTGAGTGTAGATCACAGAGTGGTAACTCACTTTGAGGGTGGGTAGTTGCTATTTAATAAACATGGAATTGGATAGTTACCATGCTTTTCACTATGTATTTTGAAAATAAGACTATACAAGAGGCTAGCCTGTGATTTATCCACTTTATAAAACATACAATTTTTTTTGTAAATATGTGTACTCAAAGGACATTCAGTGTCAGGCCCATTTGGTTTATGTGTAACTGCAATGCTCAAAGATCCAGGAAATGAAATACTTAATTCCTGTCCTATGTTCTAAATAATGTTTCTTCTACATGTGGTGAACTCATTTCATAGTAACTCAATGACTTGTGTAAATGTGTTTTTATCTGAAACAAGATCAACACATTTCAAATCATGGTCAAGAGAAAATGATTCCTGGGTGAACACAGTTGTCAGCACAGATAACCTGAGGTTTCTTGCCTGGTCCTCAGGAAGACACCAGTTCACATTGTCTCCCTGTGCCTACTTCACTTCCCTGTCTTCTCACACAAATGCTCCACTATGGCATTTGTCCAAGTTGTGTACAAACCATGGCTTAAACACGGGCTGCATCCTTGCTTCTCACTTGAGGTCCCAGTCTATACCTATATGGCAAAAACGAGGCACAACCAACAGTTGAGGAAACTGCTACAGCCTCAGCCTGTGTGGGGCTATGATTTCAACCAAGGATCATAAAGACAGAACCTCAGGGCAGTGACAAGCACTGAAAAAAGTGGCCTTTGTGCACTGCAGGAGTCTTGCATTCACTGTGCTTTCCAGATGTGTGGTATAGCTAACCTGTGACAAGACTGCATTTACTGATGGATACTCGGGCACTGACATCCACAGTATGGTTAAAAATAGGGTGTGCACAGTCAGGATATGAAAATGGGAGACTGATGGATCTCTGCCTCTCAAAGACTCATTTTAACAATGTAAACACCAAGAAGAGTCTGATCATGAAGAATAGCTGATTTAGCAACAAAGCTCTGGAGTGGCTTTGCTGAAGATTCCCTACCCTGGCAGGTTATGAAATCCTGTAATGAAAAGCACTGGGACATAACTATATGATGCTAGTTAAACCATGTCTTGGAACACCAGCCCACAGGCTTGTCAGGGGAGACTTCTCTCTACTACAGAAGCTTCTGAGGGATTCTCCAGGAACTGTGCTCAACAGAGCTGGGCACATACTGCAGTTCACTGATGGTCAAAGATCTGGGAAATCAAACAAGCCTTTGGCATCTCCTCCACACCAGCAGTGCTTGGGTCTGGGAAGCACATGGAGGGTGCCTGAAAGGGGACAAAGGGCTTCACTCTCTACCTAGGACGTTGGCAAGGGCAATGATGTTTCCTCACTGGGGTCACACAAGCTAGTCTCACAGCAGGTCATGTGCTGAGCTTCTCCTCAGTAGTTCAGTGGGTCTTGTAAATCACCTGATAGGTGACTGCAGAAGGTGCTTATCTGGGGAGCAGATGCTGTGGGCTCTGAAAAGAGCACCTCGGTGGCTGACTACATCTCTGAGATTGCCCTGTTCCCTTCTGACAGGGTTCTGCTTCCACACGCTGGTTATAAGCAGCATGTGCTGCATGCCTAGTAGGTGCCAGGCCAGGTAGGTGTGCTTGACACCTAAAAATCTGTGGCATGTGTAGTTATCATGGGGCTGCTTGTTTGGTGATGCTGTCCTATGTCTTCTGTTGATGTTCAGTTGCTTGAATCACTCCAGCTAAAATCTTCTGGTTCTGAATTGCTCCTGAGCTCATTATGCACCCAAGATCTAGGTGCCAAAGCCAGAACAGCTCAGGCCTGTGTGGCCAGATTGTTACCCATTTCAGTAAGACTTCTGAGTACTTCCAAACATTCCATTTTGTATATTTAAAAGGTAGATTATGCTCTTCCACTATAATGAGATTGACAACTACCTTATATGCCATCCTAGAGCCTTCATCTAGTAGGTGATGGACACCCACAGCTAAACACTAGCCAAACTCCTGGAATCCATGTACAGAGAGGGAGGAGTGATGAGCAAAGGGGTCAAGATGAGGCTGGAGAAACCCACAGAACTAGCTGACCTGAACAAGGGGGAGCTCATGTACCCCAGTCTGATAGCTGGGAAACCAGCATAGGACTGACCCAGACCCCCTGAATGTGGGTGTTAGTTAGGAGGACTGATTTAGTAATGGATCAGTATTTTTTCCTATTATACAAATGGACTTTGGGAGCCCATCTCACATAGAGGGATAATTTCTCAGCCTAGACACATGGAGGAGGGCCTAGGCCTTGCCCCAAATGATATGACAGACTTTGAAGACACCCCATAGAAGGCCTCACCCTCCCTGGGGAGCAGAAAGGTGATTTCTGAGGATTGGTAAGGGTGATAGGGTGGATAGGAGGGTGAGGGAACTGGAATTGACATGTAAAACAAGCTTGTTTCAAATGTAAATGGGGAAAAAAAAAAAAAAAAAAAAAAAGAAAGAAAGAAAGAAAGAAAAGAAAATACCTGTGGGCAAACCTAGGTGCTCAGGAGGAGTTGGGATTGGGACAATCTCTAGATAGATTCCAGCATTACATAGAAAATTTTAAGTAAGATATTCAGCTTCTTTTTTAATAAAAAAATATGAAAGAAGGTAGATTACCTCAATTCTGACCCCAAGCAAACCAAACTAAAGCATTTAAGCTTAAAAAGTGGAGCAGATTCTAAATTTGGACAAGACTCTGTGCATACTGAATGTTCATAACCCTGAACATTAATGTCTCCTGCTTCCCAAACATGATGAGAATATGCAAGAGTATTTATGATTGCAGTGACGACACACAGCGAAGATACAAATCACTGATCAGCACTGACAACTAAGATATCATTTAGAATTGCACACAGCTGATACTGTGTCCCTAAATATTTGCTTAACTAGTCTCCTCTACATCTTTCCACATATTTCATTACATGGAACTATGAGTTAATTCTTAGATCCTCATTAGTGACATTAGTACATTTGTTCACAGCACATTGGGCAGCATTTGCAGTAGTTACTGGCATGAGCTATGATGTAACTTGTTAAGGTTCTACTTGTGAAGTGTTCTGTAACACCATATGTAAGAACCTAGGAAAAATGTGAGTAGCAAATTGTTGATATAGTAACTATAAGTCTCTATTACAATGTAGGACTGGCCAATAAAGTTCATGCTTTCTAACACAAACAGCCATGACTTTGAAATGAGGTATGTTTGTTTATGCCTGTGCATAGGAGTAGTGATGCCTGGTTCATTTGCATGATCTAAACATGAGTATAACACACCAATGTGTGTTCTCTCCAATAAATGAGATAATGGCTTTATACCTGGCAGTTAGCTGTTTCAGAATTCATGTTCTTGAAGATGCTTTGAGCCCAATGGACAAGGGTAAAAAAAAAGTATTCTCATCGTGTTATCATATTTTAGCATTTCTATGAGGCAAACCATAAGACAATAAAAGCTATATCTAGGATCATGAGAAAACCAGCACTTCTTTTTGGAAGTGATTGTTAGGATAGGTTTCAAAAATCACAATTTTGAGTCTTGTGCTAACAGAAAACTGGACACAATAATGAAGCCTCTAGAATGTGTAGCTGGAGTTATTTTCCAGCCTGATCCCGTGGCCCCTTTGCCCCAAATAAACACAGAAAGACTTACATTAATTATAAAACTTTGGCCAATGGCCTCTTACTGGCCAGTGCTATTGTTATGATTAATCCATTTCTATTATTCTATGTATTGCCACATGGCTGTGGCTTATGCATAATCCAGCATAAATGCATTATGGAAGCAACCCATATACTGCACAATAAGATTGCACTTTGCTTGAACAACTCATGGTGTTCTGCCTCAGACCAGAAACATGGTTCTCAAGTATGAAGCACACATCCAATCCACCAACCACTTCCTTTAAGTAGTATCTGTTTTCATTCCAGCCACATGACAGTCACCAAAGGATGGCTTTGACAATCAACAGATAGAAACTACCCCTCCACACTGAAGGCATGGAGGCTAAGGCTGTGCAAAGCCATGCTCGAGTCAGTCATACCTCTTGGACAGAATAACTTACACCCCACACATGCCAGACTAGATTTTTTCCTACATCCTACTATAAATATTTCAGCAAATCGCCATGACAACCAATCTAAATAATAATTTAACAGAAATCTGAAGCCTAGATGATTACTTAAAGGAATTATTTGAGACAAGCTTTAAGTTCCCATAAGCAGTTTATCCATTTGGTGTTGAGAAACCTTAGTCCTGGAATTGTTAGGATGCCAAGGATATTAACACTAGAAAATTCACCCAGAAAACTCACTCCAAATCATGGCCTAAGCTTTGATAGCATTTAAAGATTACCATTTTCTTCTTCCTCTTCCTCCTCTTCTTCTTCCTCATCTTCCTCTTCTTCCTCTTCTACATCATCCCCATCATCTTCATCATCATCATCATCATCTTCTTCTTCTTCCTCAATCTCCTCCTCATCTTCCCGATCCACCTCCTCCTCATCATCATCCTCATCCCCTTGCTCATCATTGTCCTCAGAGAACTCCTCCTCATCATCTTCCTCCTTATCGTCCATGTCTTCAGTACCATCACTGTCAAAACATTCATCTACTGAGGAACTATCTGCTTTCACTGCAAATGGCTTTCGCTTGGGAGCAGGTTCTTGGGGCTGTTTATCTTGCGTTTTCCTTTTTTTAGCCAAGGGACAACCATATACACTAATAAAAAAAATAGAGAAAGGACAGAGAAAGAGATTTATGTTACTGCCTGAATATCAGAGCAACAGGATGCCTTGCAGATATTTGGGTTTGAGTATAAATGTCACCATGCAAATGCAAAAGGCCACTGTTCTGCTAATGAAAATGACATGGCATCAAAGTACTGCTTGCATTTGTCTAATTACCATTAGCATGTAATCAGAATCTTCTATCTCACTATTGCTATGATTCCAAACAGCATGAAGACTCTAGTTGAGGACGATGGTTGTGAAATCCTTCTGCCAGATGTTTCTCAGGCAGTTGGAAGTTCAGATTCAAATTACTAAATATTGTTCTGTATCTATATCACACATGATGTATATATACATGTGTATCTATATCACATGCACACAATATTAACATATACTGATTTATGGAAAATATAAGATGTGTATCCTCTAAAAGTACTTGGGTATTCTTGAGTCTGTATATTTTGAAGACACAATAATATCCTCAGATATGAAAATCTACTAGAAGGAGACAAACCAGAGACATTGATGACAGATACTGCCCCATTTAAAGGCTGGTCGCTGTCAGTCATGGACAATGCCAGTTCTATCCCCAGCTCATAGAGAAGTACTTTGGGATTACGGGCAGTGGCCATTAAATCAAAAAGAATTTGGGCCATACTCTCCCTACAAACTGAGTGTATGTTCTTTCCCTGAGAAAAGTACAATAAAAGATTCCTTCAGACTTAGCAGGCTCAGTATGGTTTGAAAGAAAATGGCTCCCATAGGGAGTGGTCCCCATTAGGAGATCTGGCTTTATTAGAGGAGTAGCCTTGTTGGAGGCAGTGTATCACTGTGGGGGTGGGCTTTGAGATCTCCTTTATGATACACAGTTGCTTCTGCTGCAACTGTAATCAACATTTAGAACTCTCAGCTCCTTCTCTAGCACCATGTCTGTCTACATGCCACCATTGCCACCTGCCATGACAATAATGGACTAAATCGCTAAACTGTAAGCTACCCCAATTAAATGTTTTCCTTTAGAAGAGTTCTGTGGTCATGGTGTCTCTTCACAGCATTAGAAACTTTAACAAAGACACTCACTTTGGGACCTAGGAATGGTGACATGATCACAGATCTTAGTCATCCAGTGTTATCCTATGGAAATCCTGTGCTGTTTAGCAGATGTTGATACAAATGGACAGAGCTTTTGTTCTAGGCTGAGGTCCAATAGTGACTTTTACATGTCAGTGGTATCATTTCTAATCCCTCACTCTTCAATACCATATACCACAAACACTTGGACACTGTGGCACTGAACCAATTTAGATCAAATGAATGAATGAAGGGTGGTGAATCCTCTCATACAATATGTGGAGGGCACCATATCCAAAGGGCAGGCAATCAAATGCCAGGAAGACCTCCAGAAAGAAATTATTCTGAGAAGAACTTTGAAGGTAGAAAAGTGCTATGTAGCAGAGAGAGAGAGACACACACACACACAGAGAGAGAGAAACCCACTTGAATACATATCAAAATAATCTGCAAACAAAATGAATATAAGAGAAAGCACAATGTAATTCAGAAACTGAAACATAAGCCTCGAAAGCTGAAAGAAGTTGGGGCAAGGGAGAAAGATAATGGGAACTGTGTGATGTGTCAGGCAGGGGCAGATCCACCTAGTGGGTGGACTGTGGGACTCTATCTGAGCTCTTGCAGGCAGCTGCCATTGGCTTTGTGTGTTGGAAAGGTCATGGTGAGCTGCTAGGATGATGAACTGAAGTAAGGTTGGGGATGGCTAGTAAAGGAATTCCTGTGTGGCATCCAGGCAGTGGAATAGACCAGGCACTGACTGAGGAGGATGACCGGATGGCTGGCTGCAGAGATACTGCACATTACAGTTCAAGGGAGCCTCCCCTACACTCTGAGACACCATGGTAGCAATAGACTCCAACCTCTTATGAAATGAACTAAGGGTGGGTGTTGAAGTCAGGCTGCATGACAGGGTATGCAGTGCTAGAACATGGTGAGCAGAGCTTGTCTGTGGGTAGGCCTTATGAGTTGACTAATTTTGTACAGATATTCAACTTTGCACCACAGAGTCACCAAAAATGTGTCCATTTCACACTGGTACCTTAATCATAAAATGTAAAAAATAAACAGGCAAGTTCAATGCCTGGCCCAGATTAGGTCCTCAGTTTGTGACAGTATTTGCTGGAAAATGATAGATAATGGCCTCTGCTCTCATTGACATGTGGTCAGATCTTGACAGTTATGTCTTCTGATGGTCAGATGGCCCTTGACACTACCCTCAATTTCTGCCTGATATATCAGAAACTTAAGGTATCAAGCATGTTCCCAGTTGCCATGTATGTACACTAAAGAAGGGTCTGCATCCTCTAAAGACTCAGGGTTTATTATAATACCATCTACATTGTTGTTTTCACATATTTGTGGGATTTTCAAGAGGACCATGGGAAGAAACAGCCTAAAAGGGAGATCTGTCCAGTTTATTATCTTGGAAGGAAAAAGAAAGCCATCTTACCTTCATAAATGTTATTATAATAAATAGTCCTAAAATCTCTTGCAAAAATAACAAATCCAGGCTCTTTCATCAGCCCAGCTGTCTGGAAGGTACTACTGTACTACCTCTGCTCCCCTCTGCTCCTTTATTTTTTATTTATTTATTTATTTGCTAAATTAACTGCTTAAACTATGCATATCTCTTGGCCGAATTCTTTCATTTGACAAGAATTGAGGATAACTCCAAACCAGTAATAGGACTCTCATGCATGTGTCTTAGTGCCAAGGCAATTGTGCTTCTTAAACATTACATTAGACACACACACTTGGGCTCTATGGCAGGGCCCACATTTACCCATCTACATGATGAATGGCTTTTACACTTCACAGCCCTAACTTTTGAGGCCATGTAGACTTCCTAGGGTGACCATTTTCCTTGTTGGCAGTACTATTTAAGTGTAGGCTTTAGCCTTCCAGCCTGCTTATTTTGAACTACTGTTTGGGAAATGTGGGTTCAGTGTGGTAACAATAAGATTCACTGATCTCAAACACTAACACTTCTTGCCAGTTCATTTCGTTTGCTGCTCTGGTGTTTCTCTATGTCCTTAAGGCACAGTGAGAATAGTCTCACCTCAGTCATATGGAAATTCATTGACATCTCTCACTGACTACCAGATCCTGATGTCATATGACAACAAATTCTAAGCCCAGACACATTTTACCCTATGTTAGAAGCTGACTCGAGAGCCTGCTCGAGTCATCAGACACCTAGAAAACTCTGGGTTTGTGTTTGGGGTGCGGATCCTGCCAAACTCATATTTTATGGGTGCTGCTTCTGCTGATGGGTGTCAGCTTGGGAGGAAGAGAAGTGTCACCCTCACCTATGCAGTTGGAGTACTGTGAACTACCACAGTTGGACTCCTGTCCATCAACACATGTTTTTCCAAATGACAACAAAATCACAGTTCTCATATGTCCTCAGATCAAAAAAAACCAAACTAAACTAAACCAAACCAAAACAAACAAACAAACAAAAAAAAAAAACACACCACAAAAAGCAAGCAAACAAACAAACAAAAAAAAAAAAAAGAGGCATCATCAGTGGCAAGGTGAAGCACCCGTGAAGCCATCCAGCTGAGGGCTACAGTTAACATCTATGGCTTCTCTCCTTGTATTCCACATGCAGAGGCCATCCAAGAGCAACTGCTACTTAGAGTAAAACTCATTGACTCATTCTTTAATCCTTTGGATCACATGGTGTAGCCTCAGCAGGTGTGTGCCTTCTCTGAGGGGCCAGTGGAACCTGTCTGGTGGTAGGTGGCCAGGGAACACTCAGGAACAATCCATTATGTCCTTGCTGGTGAAGGATGAGAGTGTATCATGCCATAATGGGGTTACAAGTCACATGATGTCTTTTTCGTTCTCCAGAGTGATGTGACAGGAGAATCTGTATTCTGATGACTCTTTAGTTTTTGTTTGCAGCATCTAACATAGTAGCCTCATAACTATGCAGGTGCTGAGTTAAAGATAATTGAAGTCCAATTTCTGTACTTCACTAGCCACATTTCAAGTATCCTGGGCTACACGGTGCTAATGGTTATCAAAAGGTCAAGGCAGAGATGTAATATCATGATCATACAAAGTGCCCCCAGACAGTCATTAGAGAGTCTAGCATCCTTTCTGGATTGTTCAGTGCATTCTAGGTAAGTGAAGAAATGAAGGATGTCATGGAGATGAAGGTGAGGATGGACCATGGTAGAGAGACCTGGAATTTGGAAGGCATCATAATGTTCTTGAAGGCAAAATTAGAAAGACCCACTGGTCCTGGATAGCATGTGAAGAGTATCCTACAGGCCAAACACCCACACCTGAGGGATGGAACAGTGTTGTGACTTGGTCTCAGGTATGTACTCAGGTGTGTTCCTTCCTGGTCTACAAGCACTGCACACCTGTGGTTTGAGTGTGTCCTTGGAGATCAAATTCATTTGTAAGGTGCTGGCTTGTTCTTCCTCTCCTCCAGTCCCATTGGTTCACATAAAATATAACGCAAACACTGCAATTCCACTGCATTTAAATTTCTTACACACAGTCAAAACATCAAATAATTAGCAAATAAGTTTACTACCAACATCATTGTAGTTCAATAGTATTTCTTTGACCAAAACAATTTTGTAATTTTTCTGTAGTGTCTCCTCTCCATAAAATGGTTCTTAATGCAGGCACCAGGCACTATCACAGTTGCAGCCTCACCCCAGAGTCAGGCTCTAGAGTCACCTCAAACTGACCTCAAAGTCTGTGTGACATCTCTGCCCACAGATAGAAGAGAAAAAGTAGAGAGAGAAGGGAAATAATGCTTAAACAGAAACAGTGTCTGGGCTCTTGTGTCTTAATCTTTGTAGCTACATGGAGACACCAATGATGGTTATCCCACTCTCTTCCAGCTCAGCCTCTGGGTCCCCCAGTGTATCTTTACTTTTTAAATACTGAGAA